CACACGATGAGGACAGTGCCCTCATAGGAAAGAGGGAATGTCTGCCGCATTATTGAAAGGAGCCAGCCTGGCCCTGAATTTGGAATACGTCAGTAGCATCTCTCTACATTACCTACAGAGCTATGGAGTGCACCAGAAGGCAAACACCAGAGAAGGGGGCAAAAGAGGAGGGTGTTGAGATCTAGTTGTTGTCCCACTAGAGGAAAAGTTAGTGTTTATGTTATCCTGCTGCTGCTGTTGCACAAAATGGAAGGGAGAGAAGAAGGTTAGACACAATGTTAGGAAGCTGGTGGGTTATTACCTGTGCAACCCCTGTTACGTACAGTGGGACCCCCTCCGACGTCTCAATATTCTCACAGCGACAGAGGATGGTCATAACCTCCAAAGACAGTCTGAGCAGCGATAAATAAGGGTAGGATAGCAAATACACAAAGCAGTTACCAGAGAATAATCGACACAACGCAAAGGACAGACGGGACTTTCAGGTTTTAATTTTCCCCCATCACTTTCCACGTCTCCCGCTGCCCACTCCTGAGTCGCTAACATTGCCGGGCAGAGATACAGCCCAGTCTCTCTCTGCCTGGGGGCGGGGGCGTTGCCACTGCCTAGTAGCTTTATTTAGATTGTATAAACGCAACATGGTTTGCTCTGTAATTTTGGCTGTGAACCCTACATTTAGATATTCTGCAAAACAAAAGCTTCCTGCCACCTGGACATTGCTGCTACAGCTGTTCAAGAATTTTCTGTCAGTGCCCTTTTCACAAAATCAATTCTTTTTTTCAGGGAATTTTCAATTTTGCCAAAAAATTCAATTTTCCACTAGGAACATGAAGTGACAGTCCCCACCTGGAAGGCTCTTGTCAGTTTCATTTTCTGCCTGCCAGGAGAAAGTGAAATTGACAAGAGCCTGCCCCCAATGTGCTGAAACATTCCATTCCAGGCCTCCACATTTGAAATTTCAGAATTTCTGCCCACAGAATATTTCCAAAGCTGTTAATTTTTGTCCTGAATCAGGATGAAATGTTTTATGAAACCTCAAAATTTACTATGGGATGGACATTCTGTTTTCTGACCAGCACTAAATACTACTTCATCTTCCCCGTTCAGAACCAGCAGGGCTTCACTCCGACAACTGTGCAATATCTGCAGCTGTTCTGGCTTTCCCTTCTGACTGGTCCTCCTGGGGAGATTTTCTAGTTCAAGAGAAGGAAAGTCTCATTCTCTCGGGCAAATGGGAATGCAGGAAGCTTCATTACTTACACTGCACTTAAGAGTTACTCAGGAGGTCATTGGTTCTTGAAAGAAGAATCAAATCCTGCACTCAGGTCTTGACATGCCTGGTAAGGTGCCTCTGAGCTCTCTATAATGTGTGTAATTAAAGCTATGTCTACACTGCACACATTACAGCGGTGCAGCTGTAAGGTATGCAGCATAACTGGTCTTTGTCACCAGGAGAGAGCTCTCCTGCCAACAAAATAAAACCACCTCCAATGAGGAGGGGTACCCTTGTCGGCAAGTGCTGTCCACACCTGTGCTTTTCATTGGGCAGGGGTGCGTTTTTTTCACACCCTTGACCGACAAAAGTTTTACTGATGAGAGTGCAGTGTTGACATAGCCTAAGCCTAGGCACCTCTTGTAATGAATGACCTGGTAGCCCAGACTTTTGATTAACATTTATATTGTGGCAACACCAAAAGGCCCCATTGTACTAACTAGCGTACAAACATTTAGTAAATTACCATCTCTCCCTGCCCTCCAGCCACCCCACATTTTAACTCTTTAGACAAATTCTCAGACCTCTTGAATAAGTCTATTCCTTCTGCAAATGATGTGTCAGACCCTCTCTTTGGGCTTTCTCAAGCAACTTAAAAAGGGAACCATTTAAACACAAAGGACAGGAGCCATCTGTTCAAAGTGTAACTATTCTCCCAACGCTCACATGGTGTCAGACTTCTGAAGCGGTGTAGGGGAGAAGCCTGACACCACTGAAAAACCACCATACCATAAGCATCAGTTCTCCTGTGCTGCATACCACAGCTGGGCTTTTCTTCATTTTCCCAACTGACACGAGCGCTACTAGAAAGTCTGTTAAAACGCAAGCATTAGTTGACATGCGGTTGGAGTGCTATAGTGCCCTGGCACTGTAACAGCCCAGTGTGGCAGCCACCGAAGGGAGACCTGTACAGGTGGTGTGAATCATTTGCAAACAGCATCAGATGAGAGCTTGCTATGCTCACAAGCTAAGTGGCCCGGGGCTATCCCGGAGCGAAGGGCATCTAAGATAATGTGTCATTTCTATTACGTTGGAGGTGCACAGCGAGGACAGCAACATGCTAACTACATCTGACAGTGGCAACACATCAAAAGAGAGAACAAGTGATGAGGCCAGCCAGTGCAGGTTAACTATAACCATTTGGCCTTCACTCTTATGGCAAAACCAAAAAGTCTCGTCTTTCTCCTTTCCCCTATTAATTCTTATAAGTGCAGAGGAACCCCACACAGGTCAGTTGGATGTTACGACTGTGTTACTTATTGTGACATTCCCATGGACCTGCAGACTAAGCAGTTACTATCACAGCATGTTAGTTCAGAGACTGAAGCAACAACAAACAGCAAGCAAAACGCATGGCTGGGATTGGGGAGAGAGAGGAAATCCCTTGGTTTTAAACAGAAATTTGGGCCCAATCCCAAAGTAACAGTTAGTTTTTGAAACTATAGAGGGCTGCATACCTTTAGGAAAATAGACTTGAGTAAGAGGAGAAGAAAATTGCTCCTCACTCCATCCCTCCCCCTGTATGTTCAGTGCCACCAGCAAATCACCAGCACCCTTATCAGAAAGACTGGCTTGGCAATAGCTGTCAGACATATGGCTCTCCCAACAGAGCTTCAATACTTACTGACAGACAAACCAAACTGGCCACAAAGGAAAACCAGCCCCCACTACAGAGCACCTCTATTATACCCTTAGTAAAGCAGCAGCTGTTTCCCTGTTACTGCTATTCCCTCAAGGGGAATAGCAACTGAAAGTTCTTGAGTTCCCCCAAACTGACTGATTTTAGCAATGTGGGAAGAAAAATAAATTCATTAACATTAAACATAGACATGGGCCCTCAATTTGCTTCGATTTTGAGGTATCTGGAAAAAATAAAATCAATTTTAAGGGGGAGGCATGCAGACACACAATATCTGTCTGAAGAAGACTTCAGCTGAAACCAGACTTTCTCTATCATTCACCATGGTATCTGGGCATCTCTGTGCAAATAATCTACACAGAGAACGCAGCTAGAGCCAGATTGTCCTGAGACTACAGGTTATGTGGGTCCTATTTTGAATAGGACGACACTAATAGATGGTACATTTGAAACAGCAGGAAATATTTCTTGAAGTACCACAAAGACCTTCATTCCTTGGAATTCCCAGCTGCAAGATGGTCAGAGGCTGAATCCCACAGCTGGATTTAAAGAGGGCTGTGCAGGTGTGAGCAGCCCTAAAAGGCCATCATTAAATGAGTGTAATTAGATCTCATGCTTCAGGACATTCCTCAAGGGCCAAAAAGGATCTTCAGCTCCTTCCCATCACTTCACCTACTACAACACTGCACAACTGTTTAGAGGCACCATAGGGAGGCGTGGAGCTTTCCTTTGAAACACCAAATATTGGCCATGGCTGGAGGCAGGGTACTGGGCTTGTCAGGGACCAATGGTTTGATCTTGTTTGGCCAATTCTATGTTCCTAAAGGTACTGCTGACAGCCTGAAGGTTTACCTACCCAAAAGACACAAACAAGAGGAGAGAGGTCTCCTTACCTTTGTGTGTCAGAAATGCACCACCAAGCCCAGGCCCAGCCTCCGAACACATACTGCTTTAGATCAGAGCCACAGCAGCCACCTGCAGCACAAGCAGAAAGCACAAGTATGTTATAGTTACACACACAGAGCCATCTCCCCCAGGCAAGTTAAAAATAAAAACTTGCTTCCAAATAGCTCTCCACTCAATGATGAGCCACAATAGCGACCAGCAAGATTGCAGAAAATGCATGCTCAATTCCTGGGAAAGCAAAGGCAGAGAGCAGCTCTCTGAAAAACAGCAGCCTTCTGTAATACTGGCCTTTCTACCCCCAGAGGCTGAAGAACAGGCTGAGTGAATTAATTCTTCTAGTTTCCCCCAATCTTTCTGAAACCACAGGGATGTCGATGTAATGACACAACATGCGACTGCTGCAATGGTAGAGGTGAGCTAAATGCATGCTAATCCACAGGACACGAAGAACATCTTTCCTGAAGCCCCCTTATATGTTGCTTTCCTCACCACTGAAGTTGTTGTACATTCAGTGCTGACCCAACTACACTATTTGCAAGAGTTAGACCAGGGGTGGGCAAAATACGGCCCGGGGGCCACATCTGGCCCTTCAGACGTTTTAATCTGGCCCTCGAGCTCCCGCCAGGGAGCAGAGTCCAGGGCTTGCCCTGCTCTGGTGCTCCAGCTGGGGAGTGGGGTCAGGGGTTGGCCCCACTCCACGCAGCTCCCGGAAGCAGCAGCATGCCCCCCACCCCCGCAGCTCCCATTGGCTGAGAACCACAGCCAATGGGAGCTGCAGGGGTGGCACCTGAGGATGGGGCAACATGCAGAGCCTCCTGGACATGCCTCTGTACAGGAGCTGGAGAGGGGACATGCTGCTGCTTCCAGGAGCTGCTTGAGGTAAGCGCTGCCCAGAGCCTTCACCCCTGTCCCACTCCCAGGCCCCTGCACCAGCCCTGATCCCCCTTCCGCCCTCCAAACCCCTTGGTTCCAGCCTGGAGCACCCTTCTGCACCCCCAATCCCTCCTCCCCAGCCCACCCCCAAAACCTGTACCCCCAGCCGGAGCCCTCATCCCCCACCCCACCCCACCCCGGAGCCCCCTCCTGCACCCTGAACTCATTTCTGGCCCCACCCCACAACCTGCACCCCCAGCTGGAGCCCTCACCCCCCCCCCCAATTTCATGAGCATTCATGGCCTGCCATACAATTTCCATACCCAGATGTGGCCCTCGGGCCAAAAAGTTTGCCCACCCCTGAGTTAGACTGTAATGCCTTGGCACTTGTATTGCAGCAAAGGGTGCTAGAGAAAACCCCTCAGAGGGATTTTCAGGGCAGGTCCTGTAAAAAGCCACGTATATTTGCAGTACTAAATAAAAATTAAAAATCCTTTCCAAGATATGGGGGGGGGGGGGGGGGGAGAAATCCTGCCAGGGCTCAGAGTGGGTTAGCTGGATACCCTGTTTCCTGTACAGAACCACAGATAACATTTTACAGTAAATATGATATGAATTCCTTCTCTTTGCAGAATCAGGAAGCTAGTGCCCCTCTCCCTCTGCTCAAAGCTCTTTTCACAAGGTTATTTTCTGAAGGCAACTTTTCAATATAAATCCTATTAAATGTACTACACAATGTTTGTTGTTTGCCATATTGAAATCCAACGGGCAGAAGGTGTCCGTTTCAAAAGCAGGGTAATTTATTATAACAAACTTGGCTTTTTGACACAGACAGTGTTATCTCAAAAGCACCTTATGCTTCAGGCTTCTAAAGCAACACAGTTGAAAAAAACAAGCTGAAAAGTTGAGTTCTTGCAGGGGTAATCCCCCAAGCTGTGGACAATACCTGCTGCTTTTGGCTCAGGATTATTAGGACATCCCATGCTTTGAAGGTAAACCACAGACTCAATTGCTTGCAAGTTGTTTAACTTTGTGTTTTTTCCAGTAACTCTTTTTGCCATGCTCAGGTTTAAGACCTGAAACCAGTGAGCTTAAGAGCCACTAGCTTAGATGTTTGTTTTGATCACTACTTGTATGTGCATTATTCTCCCACCTCCAAGACAACAGCTCCCTGCCAACTTGCATGGCAGCTAGAAGACTATTCCTCCGAATCGGGGGAAAGCTTAGGCCGGGTAGTTATCAATGGCTCCATGTCTAGTTGGCAGCCGGTATCAAGTGGAGTGCCCCAAGGGTCGGTCCTGGGGCCGGTTTTGTTCAATATCTTCATAAATGATCTGGAGGATGGTGTGGATTGCACTCAGCAAATTTGCGGATGATACTAAACTGGGAGGAGTGGTAGATACGCTGGAGGGGAGGGATAGGATACAGAAGGACCTAGACAAATTGGAGGATTGGGCCAAAAGAAATCTGATGAGGTTCAATAAGGATAAGTGCAGGGTCCTGCACTTAGGACGGAAGAACCCAATGCACAGCTACAGACTAGGGATCGAATGGCTAGGCAGCAGTTCTGCGGAAAAGGACCTAGGGGTGACAGTGGACGAGAAGCTGGATATGAGTCAGCAGTGTGCCCTTGTTGCCAAGAAGGCCAATGGCATTTTGGGATGTATAAGTAGGGGCATAGCGAGCAGATCGAGGGACGTGATCGTTCCCCTCTATTCGACATTGGTGAGGCCTCATCTGGAGTACTGTGTCCAGTTTTGGGCCCCACACTTCAAGAAGGATGTGGATAAATTGGAGAGAGTCCAGCGAAGGGCAACAAAAATGATTAGGGGGCTGGAACACATGAGTTATGAGGAGAGGCTGAGGGAGCTGGGATTGTTTAGCCTGCAGAAGAGAAGAATGAGGGGGGGATTTGATAGCTGCTTTCAACTACCTGAAAGGGGGTTCCAAAGAGGATGGCTCTAGACTGTTCTCAATGGTAGCAGATGACAGAACGATGAGTAATGGTCTCAAGCTGCAGTGGGGGAGGTTTAGATTGGATATTAGGAAAAACTTTTTCACTAAGAGGGTGGTGAAACACTGGAATGCGTTACCTAGGGAGGTGGTAGAATCTCCTTCCTTAGAGGTTTTTAAGGTCAGGCTTGACAAAGCCCTGGCTGGGATGATTTAACTGGGAATTGGTCCTGCTTTGAGCAGGGGGTTGGACTAGATGACCTTCTGGGGTCCCTTCCAACCCTTATATTCTATGATTCTATGGTCTGCACTTAAAAATTAGATCAACCCTAGTTATGTCACTTGGGGCTGTGAAACACTGTGTATCCTGAGTGCCGCAGTTATATTCACCTAACCACCCATGAAGAGGCGGCTAGTTTGATGAAAGAATTCTTCTGTCGACCTAGCTACTGGGGCTGCGAGAGACGGATTAGAAAAACCCCTTCTGTGGAAGTAGGGCGTGTCCAAGCTGTGCCGTTGTAGCGAAGGCAAGCCCTTAGAGAAGCTGATTGGTGTGACAGCTCCTAAAACAGATTCAAAGTAATGTCATTTAATATCTCTTGGGGGATAGGAGACTGGCTTGCTCAGTTCATTAGCCAGACTCATACGCTGTCTGCCACTTCCTCACCTCCTTTTCTGTTGGTTATCTGCACAGCACAACGTTCTCGATAGTTCTGCTTCCCAGCCCACACTTATCACTGAGCAGACATGGCAGCATGTGTCCCTTCAAACAGATGTTATTTTCTTTCACACACAATGTAAGAAAATATCCTACTTTGAATCTTCTCCAAACTGAGCAGTAGCACCCTTACTAATTCTCACCAGAAAGCACAGAAAGTTACATCTGTGCACACCAGATTTGGTGCCATGTAGTGCTATTTAGTAAAATCATTCTTAATAGTGTCCAAAGCAGAAAGAAAATACGGAAAGTTATAATAAAGTTCTTCTAGAAAGATTCAATCTGAATTTACTAATGGGAGTGAATTGCCAAATAGGTTCTTTAATACAAGTTGTACATCCGGGCACAGTAGAATACTCTGGTGGTAAAAGAATGAGCCGCATGAACTAATTGCTTTAAACACTAATTTCCTATTTACAATCTTGCCATCTGCTTCCCAGGTCCCAAAGATCAAGTGAAAAAACAGAAACAAATCACCAATGTGAAAAACTTTGCAAATCTGGAAAACAAACCCCAGCAAAATGAGATTTGGCAGAGAAACCTCCTATTTCAGCTAGAACATCCCCTCTTCTCTTCAAGTCTGGGTCTCACAGCTACTTGGCTACAATTTACAGACATCCACCCTGCCTTTTCCAGCACAATAGAATACAGCCAGCTATACTACCATGGGAGGATTCATGCCAGACAGCAGTATTCCAGCTTGGAGCCTGCAGAGGGAAGTGATCCTGCATTAAAGTCAGAAGCATTCCTATTAACAACAAAACTAGATGGCCTGTTTCTTATGAGATTAGATGAACCAAATTAGGGTTTATGATTAGTTCCAGGTCTACATACAGAAAATGCCTCCAGCAGATCCAAAAAGGCCCTTTGCACTGCTGCTCTAAGCCCTGGTCTACACGACGAGTTGAGGTCGAATTTAGCAGCGTTAGATCAATTTAACCCTGCACCCGTCCACACGATTAAGCCATTTTTTCCAACTTAAAGGGCTCTTAAAATCGACTTCTGTACTCCTCGCCCGACGAGGGGATTAGTGCTGAAATTGACCTTGCCGGGTTGAATTTGGGGTAGTGTGGTCGCAATTCAATGGTATTGGCCTCCGGGAGCTATCTCAGAGTGCTCCATTGTGACCGCTCTGGACAGCGCTCTCAACTCAGATGCACTGGCCAGGTAGACAGGAAAAGGCCCGCGAACTTTTGAATTTCATTTCCTGTTTGGCCAGCATGGCAAGCTGCAGGTGAGTGCAGATCTCAACAGCAGAGGTGACCATGATGGAGTCCCAGAATCGCAAAAGAGCTCCAGCATGGACTGAACGGGAGGTACGGTATCTGATTGCTGTATGGGGAGATGAATCCGTGCTATCAGAACTCCGTTCCAAAAGACAAAATGCCCAAACATTTGAAAAAATCTTGAAGGGCATGAAGGACAGAGGTTATAACAGGGACCCGCAGCAGTGCCACGTGAAACTTAAGGAGCTCAGGCAAGCCTACCAAAAAACCAAAGAGGCAAACGGCCGCTCGGGGTCAGAGCCCCAGACATTCCGCTTCTATGATGAGCTGCATGACATTCTAGGGGGTGCAGCCACCACTAACCCACCCTGTGCTTTGACTCCATCAATGGATTATCATGCAACAGGGATGCGCATTTTGAGGATTAGGAAGATGAGGAAGAGGTTGAAGATAGTGCACAGAAAGCAAGCGGAGAAACCGTTTTCCCCCGAGAGCCAGGAACTGTTTCTCACCCTGGACCTGGAGCCAGTACCCCCTGAACCCACCCAAGGCAGGCTCCTGGACCCGCCAGGCGGAGTAGGGACCTCTGGTGAGTGTACTTTTGTAAATAAAATACATGGTTTAAAAGCAAGCGTGTTTAATGATTAATTTGTCCTGAAGACTTTGGATGCATTCGCGGCCAGTACAACTACTGGAAAAGTCTTAACGTGCCTGGGGATGGAGCGGAAATTCTCCAGGGACATCTCCATAAAGCTCTCCTGGATGGTCACTTGTCGTTGAAATAGGGTAATTTTATTAAGGGGACATTCAAAGGTGGCCGTTCCTGCTGGGCTGTGTGCCTGTGGCTGAAAAGAAATATTCCCCACATAAGTTGTTGACAGACTTATGCCAGCAAGGCTTGAGCTAGTGAGCTAAACATAGCACACTCCCAGTTGCAGAGCAGACAAACCCACTGAGGCCCAAAGGTAGAGGTCCCTTCTGCAGTTTAAACCATTAAATGATGGGGAGGAGAAAAAATGAAACTGGACAACAGATGCATAAAGAAACTTATGTGCAGTGAAGTCAGAGTCTAGGCATAGATCAGGGTCAGAATCTCAGACACTAGTGTGAATCTGAGTTAAGCCTTGTCCATACACAAGTTGTATCAACTTAACGAAAATTAATTTAAATGGACTTAGTTAAACCAGTGCAAACTCCTGTTTGGACACTTATTAATCAAAAACTGGCTATACTAGTTTAGCTAGCACCAGTAACAAGCTAAGATGATGACAGTTTTAAACTGATCTATACAGTGTCTGCACAGCATTTGCACTGGGTTAACTAAATTGAGTTCAAAACACACCTTTCAATGAACTGGTGCAACTCAGTGTATAGATCAGGCCTTGTTAAAAAAAACCAACCCAACATATGGCTTGAATTTTACAAGCCATAACAAAGGTGTGCAACATTACACCATGAAAAGCTTACACTAAATTCTTCCTGGAAACTAAAGGGAAAACCCCTAAGGCAGGGGTTGGCAACCTTTCAGAAGTAGTGTGCCGAGTCTTCATTTATTCACTCTAATTTAAGGTCTCGCATGCCAGTAAGACAGTTGAACGTTTTTAGGTCTCTTTCTAGAAGTCTATAATATATAACTAAACTATTGTTGTATGTAAAGTAAGTAAGGTTTTTAAAATGTTTAAGAAGCTTCATTTAAAATTAAATTAAAATGCAGAGCTCCCCGGAGCGGTGGCCAGGACCCAGGCAGCGTGAGTGCCACTGACTATCAGCTCGCATGCCGCCTTTGGCACGCGTGGCATAGGTTGCCTACCCCTGCCCTAAGGCAATGTGAAGCAAACCACACGTGCAGAGAAGCTATTCCAACTCTTTTGGAGACTTAACAAAGGAAACCTTGGGTTCCATCTGTTGCAAAAGACTACAGTGCTGCCTCCTGGGAAGGGCAATGTCGCTGAAGAATGCAGATTACCCAATTCTATGTAATTACTGAATAACAGTATTAAAGATTGGCTTAGGCTAGTGTCACGCTGCAATCCACCTTGACAGGCTGTGAGGTTGCATACTGGACAGTAACAAATAAAGAGGTTTCAGTGAAAGAACAGTACTGTATCCAGTCACAGTTCAAGATTCTTGGCTAATCACATTTATGATACTAAACAGATTATCATGGTACTCTGATTTTAGGGGAAAATGGAAACCCATTTATTTAAAGACCTTTTAAACAGCTAACCCTGCATGAGGTGTGTAAGAACTTCACTCTCAGGAACACACATATTCTGAATACAAATATGGAAATCTGATTCCAAAGGCAAAACAGACAAGGGTAAAACCTCTCCCATGCAGAGAAGACAGCCAGAGCTGCCTGTTCCCCCTTACTGTTATACCATGCCTACAAACTTTTAATCTGTCTACAAAGCTAGGGAATTAAAGCATGGTTAGTCAGAAGATCATGGGAGTCCATCTTTGTTCCGTGACCTGCATATCATAATGCTGTTTACAAGTCAAAAAGGTGATTTTTTTTTCCTCAAGGAAAACTGGGCTGATCCTTCTGTGTCTTACATCAACACATACAAGAAAGGGTCTGCCACCAAACATAGGTGACCATTTTGTTACTGAATGGAATCTAGATTACTCAAGAGACAAGCAGAGTAAAGACATGTCAGTAAGGTAAGCGGATACATTTGATGTTATTTGATGACGGCAATCACACCTTAAAGATTGCTCATGTATGATATCTAGTAACAATAAGGGTATGTAGTTTATGTGTAAGTATTACAGGATCACAATTCACGACTGGCAGAGTGCGGGAGAACCACGCATAATGTAAATTCAGGGAAGTGAAATAAGCCAGCCAAATAAACCCAACATCAACAGTGCAGTCAGTATCGTTTGTTTACACAATGGGAACTGTGGTCTGATTGTCTAGATAAAGTACCTTTTGCATTTTCCTGAAAACCTTCAATGGCACCAGTGCCATGGGAGAGAAGCCATAGCCTCAGTAATGGCCAGCATGGAGAGTGTTGGACACCCGGTTCTGGGACAGATTTCACACGGACGTGTCCCATAGCACACTGCTGTCCTTAGGTTAAATTAGAACCTAACCACAGAAAATCCTGAATAGTTTTTCAAATGTGAACAGAAGAACTTCAAGTCTGGGTTTAAAAGTTCCCAGAAGTAATTTTCTAACCAATATGTGGCTTAACAGGAACCCAGAGAAATTACCACAGAGTTGGAAAAAAAGCACTAACACTCACCATTGACCTGTGCCCTTGGAATCAGATTTCCAAATAAGGCCATCAAGCAGAGGGTTTTATTGGTCAAACAGAAGTTACAGAGAGCTGACTGCTTGTTGGGGTACTGTATGTCACTATAAAAAGCACTGAAAGAAAGCCACACTCCTGAAGTGGCATATGGTGAGACTCCCTCCTTAACAGAGTCAAGAATTTATTCTGAAAAAGCTTTTCAATTAAAATATTTGAGCCATCTCCCTAGTTAGTGACCTCTTTTACCAGTATTAGTAAGGGAACCCAATACTGCAGAACATAACTCTGTTAATAACATGTTCTAATATTGGTTTATCACACACAAAAGCTTCTTGACTGTGATCTTAATAACTACACACAGCAAGGATGAAAACCAAAACCGACACAAAGTTCTGCATTTACAGACATTTTACCTCTGCCCCAGAGCTTGCTCAACATCCATGGAAGCCTAACTGTTGACTGCTCTGCCCTAGCATGCTAATAACCCACCAGTCACTCAACACCCAGATAAACAAAGGGTTATTAGCACAGTCACAACCCTGCAGCCAGGGCCCAGACTGAACACCTGTTGCAAAGCACCCAGGAAAGAATGAGGCATCCATAAGCACCCCCGACTCTTTCAGCCTGTTCCCTGAGCACAGAACCAGTGCTCTTAGGAAACAGGCAGGTGTTCGCATAGCACATAGCATGCTGGATAGTGAAATACAAAGGCCATCTTTGGTCACGGTATGGACTACAGAACAGACCTTTATAGCCAGGATTGATGTATTCATATATAAGAACACGGCAATGGTCATACTAGGGTCAGACCCGTGGCCTGTCTAACCCAATACCCTGTCTTCCAACAGTGGCCGATGCCAGATGCTTCAGAGGGAATGAACAGAACAGAGCAATTATTGAGTGATCCATCCTGTCATCCAGTTCCAGCTTCTGGCAGTCAGAGGTTTAGGGACACCTAGAGCATGTGGTTGCGTCCCTGACCATCTTGGCTAACAGTCATTGCTGTACCCATCCTCCACAAGAATATCTATTCTTTTTTGACCCCCCCCCAAAACTCTCAGCATGTGATTGCATTTGATGGGTTATCCTGGGCACACTGGGGCCGAGCTATGGGAAAATATATAGTTTGGGGGGTGTTAATGGATACCACAGACTTTTGTTGCCATGCCTTGTGATTCAGAGTTTATATGCTGCTGCTTTCATAATTATATTGTGCTTTTAAAAAAAAACAGCAACTAATCAGGGGTTAAAATAAACTTGTTTAATGGCCAAATTTAAAAAGACAGAGGATAATTCCCATTCCTTTGTTATTTGTAAAATACTATTCTTGTACCCTGTAAGCAGGTTTTAGAACATGCCTGAACCACCCATTAAGACCAACTCATTAGGCTCTGTAACAGGCCTGTCCTCTGAGAAAGATTTACAGATTGCTTAATAGACCAACTGGAAGTGATTACCACTGCCTGCAGGAGATTTCAGCCTAAGGGACTGATTTAATTGGCTTGCAAACCACGATGACGTAGTTTCAGATACACAGCAATGGGAGTGAAGCAGCCGTATAATCACTTTGTAACCCCAGGTTTCAGAGTAACAGCCGTGTTAGTCTGTATTTGCAAAAAGAAAAGGAGTATTTGTGGCTCCTTAGAGACTAACCAATTTATTTGAGCATAAGCTTTCGTGAGTGAGCTGTAGCTCACGAAAGCTTATGCTCAAATAAATTGGTTAGTCTCTAAGGTGCCACAAGTACTCCTTTTCTTTTTGTAACCCCAAACGTTTGTTTCCTCCAAGGCATGAGGAAAGGTGGTTAAGATTTGAGGGTCAGAGTCCCAATCACCAAACCTAGCCATCCACTCCATCACGAACCCAGTGTTGACAAAGAGGATTTATGCAGACTGGGAACGTATTGAGCAACTGAACATTATTTCAGAGTAGCAGCCATGTTAGTCCGTATCTGCAAAAAGAACAGGAGGACTTGTGGCACCTTAGAGACTAACCAATTTATTTGAGCATGAGCTTTCGTGAGCTACAGCTCACTTCATCGGATGCATGTAGCTCACGAAAGCTGATGCTCAAATAAATTGGTTAGTCTCTAGAGGTGCCACAAGTCCTCCTGTTCTTTTTGAACATTATTTGTAGATGCCCTGAACTTTCTCTTGCCCACAGCCCACCCATTCCGCATAACCACAACGGATCCAGTCATACCTACAGGATGCAGCATCACGTACCGGTGTTTAATACAACTCCACATTTTGATGGAGCCAGATCCACTGTGCACCCTTTGCAGTTGCGACTGTAGCATAAATCAGGGAAAGGCACAATCGCCACCCGGGCGACCCCTCCTCGACGGGGAGGCGGGGGAAAGGCACCTGCTGCTTCTGCGGGGGCTGGCAGGGTCGGGGAATTACAGAAACAAGGCTCACTGGCAAAGCAGCGGGAAGCGGGCGCCTGGGGACCAAGGAATGCGCAAGGCAGCCACAGCCCTTGCGGCTCCCAGGTGGCAGCGGGGAAGAGCTCACAGGCCCCCCCCGCCCCCGCCTGTGCCCCAGAGGACAGGGGGCCCGAGCTGCCTTCCGGACGAGCCGGGGTCTTTCGCCCCCAGTCCCTGCCATCGAGGCTCCGACCCCTCCCCAGACATTTCACACCCGGGGCCTTGGCCCTGCCCCGGGGCAGCCAAGAGTCCGGGCCCCCCCCCGCGCTCCCCGGCCCCCCCCCCGGGGCCCCCCACCCCGCTGGCGGGTACCTGGCGCCCAGCCCTGAGCTGCAGAGCGGGGGGGCGCCCCCCCACCTCCTGCCCTTCACCCCTGCGGGGGCCCATCCCCCCCGCACGACAGGAGCCCCCCAGCCCCGCCTCCTTCCCCCTGCCGGGGGCCCCCCTCAGTGCTGGGGGGCTCCCGCCGAAGCCCCTCCCCCGTCACCCCAGTAGGGCCCCCCCCCGGCCGCCGCCCCTACCTGACACCACCAGCGCCTCGTTGGGCCCCACCGTGTGGCAATTGCCCATGGCGCCGGCAGCAACGGCACCGCCCCGCCCGACTCTCCGCCGCAGCGCCCGCCGCGCCCAGCCGCGCCCCCGACGCCCCGCCCCGCCCCGCGCCGCGCCGCGCCCGCCAGCGGAAGCGCGTCACCGGGGGGGGGGACTCGCTCGGGGCCGTCGCCATGTTGGGAGGGGCGCCCGGCGGACCCCGGCCGCCATGTTGGATTGAGGGCGGGGGGGGGCAGAAATGGAGCAGCCGCCATGTTGGATTGGAGGGGTTCGGGGGGGGGGGTCCGTCAGGCGGCACCGCGCTGGGGGGTGTGTGTGTGGGGGGGGTGTCTGTCAGGTGGTGCCACCGCGCTGGGGGGTGTGTGTGTGGGGGGGTTGTCTATCAGGCAGTGCCGCGCTGAGGGTGTGTGGGGGGGTGTCAGGTGGCACCGCGCTGGGGGTGTGTGTGTGGGGGGGTGTCTGTCAGGTGGTGCCACCGCGCTGGGGGTGTGTGTGAAGCAGCGCCGTGCTGTGTGTGTGTGGGGGGGGGTGTCTGTCAGGCGGCGCCACCCTGGGGGTGTGTGGGGGGGGGGGGGGGTGTCAGCTGGCACCGCGCTGGGGTGTGTGTGTGTGTGGGGTGTCAGGCGGCGTCACCCTGGGTGTGTGTGTGGGGGGGGGGTTGTCTATCAGGCGGCGCCGTGCTGAGGGTGTGTGGGGGGTGTGTGGGGGGGGTCAGGCGGCGCCGTGTTGAGGGGGTGTGTGTGGGGGGGTGTCTGTCAGGTGGTGCCACCGCGCTGGGGGTGTGTGTGAAGCAGCGCCATGCTGGGGGTGTGTGTGGGGGTGTCTATCAGGCGGCGCCACCCTGGGGGTGTGTGTGTGGGGGGGTGTCTGTCAGGTGGTGCCACCGCGCTGGGGTGTGTGTATGTGTGGGGGTGTCTGTCAGGCACCGCCATGCTGGGTGGGGTAGGGTGGAAGTGCGCGGGGGCGGGGGTGTCTGTCCTCAGTGCCACACTGGGCTGGATGTTGTGTCTGTCACCAGCTGCCCTATGGGTTTGGTGAGGAGCTAATAGAGAACATGTTTACAGAGGGGGATGATCATTGTATGCAGGGCTGTACATCTCATGAAGTAGTGTTCAGCTGCCCCCGTTCTTATAATTGTCACAGTTGTGGCCTTTTCTATCAATCCCAATTTTGTGACCAGCTAACACCTGTAAAAGTGTTAAACGATATCTCCATTCAGTGTTAAAGGGGGTTTCTAATCATGTTAATTCACCCAATTTTAAGCATGCACTTTCCCCCCAGTCTAGACAGAATTTAAATGACTCTCATAACTTGCCTGCTGCAGCCAGGACACTTTCAGAGAGACTCAGCAGCTAGTTCAGTGGAGGAGGCACCCATTTGCCACTGTGCAGTGAGGACTTACCAGCATTTTGTCTCTTTGTGCACATAGCTGTTACCGCTAGCATCCTGCCCAGAACATCTTTAGACTTCCTTTGAATGTCAGCCTTCCCAAAACTTCTTGGTAAACATATACCTGCTACCCAGGAATTCCCTGCAGGTCTAGAACGTAGACCACAGCTGGCCAGCTACATACAGAAACATCCTCACGAAACCGTTGCACTGGGGATTCCACAGAATTAGGCAATTGCCCCAGTGGAAGCTTTTTTAGTGGTAGGCGTCAGTGCTATTCTTGAAAGGCAAGTATTTAGGCTACTGTGACAAAGTGGGATGGGGAAAATGATACATGCTCAAGGAGGTGCTTTAATTCACCTTTTAAAACAGTTATTTTCATTGTGTTTTAATTGATACAATTATAGAAAATGCTATCGAAAATGTTCAGGTATGAAACAGGGCTTGAGGGGAGAGAAATGAGAGCGTGGATAGCACCAGCAGAACCCACATCATCATCCTTACACACTGGGGCACGGTAAGGCACCTACATTCAGAGTGGTAATCCTAGCTCTCACAATCTTATTTGTTAGATGCAGTGTAAAGAAAATCCTGCTTCTTAAGAAGATGGGTACATGTTCATATTACAGTGTTGGATCATCTGGTATAGCCTAGATGCCATGGAAGCTTCCACCATGTAATTTCTAATGTATCTGAGGCCTCGCTTTCAGCTCTGCCTCTCTCTTGCCAGTCTGAGGCCCTCTCAGTTTCCTAATGCACCTTAATCCTACCCCTACAGCAGCCACTGCTATTCCAGTCTATGGTCCCTACATAACTCTCCGGGTCAGGGGATAGCACATTCTAAGCAGCCAAACCCACCATCCTCTCACTGACTTCCCACAGCTTCTTGGCAACAGCATCATCACGGGCCCGGGGCCTGGGATCTTGTACCCGGCAGTCCACAAAGTACCGTCCGCTGAACATCTCAATCCCCTCCTGCGTGGCACAGTAGATAGAGGTCTGGGCTCCATCAGTGGGGTCTCGGAAGAAGAGCCAGGAGATCGGAAAAAAGAATGGCCACAGCCAGATCGGAATGTAGCGGAATAGTTCAGTGTTAACGACCCCTGAAAGCAAAATAAAGCAGCAGCTGCAGTTAGACTGGAATGTACGGGAAACGTCCCTCATCTGGGAGGAGGGGGTCTTACTCAGGAGGCATAAAGAGCAACAGTGCCAGTGAAGACAGAGAGAGAAGGCAAAAACTACATGAGACCCATGCAGGCACACTGGGTTTGGTTCTTAGTACATTTCACTGAGAACCATCCACAGACCTTTGGTCTGACCCAGTATGGCCGTTCTTTTGTTCTCTTAGTACTCACTCGACAGGAACTTGACTGCAAAGAGGGGTGAAGTACATGGACAGTTCAAAGAAAGTGACTTGCACAGTAGGGTGTTGAATAGTTTCTAATCTGTACGTCATGCTTCCTCCAAATAGCAGTTCCATTTTCTGGCCTCCCTCCCACCCAAATTCCAACCAGTGCTGGAGAGGTAGGAAAGAGAATTTCATTGCAAGCAGGGCGAAATGCAGAATGAGGGATCATGGCCTTGGGGGTAAAGAGTAACTTTGGTTCATTAGAAAGCTGCCTCTCTTATTAAGATTGCTGACCAGTCCTCCTTGACTGGGTGGGAGGCTCAGTGTGAAAGAGAAGAGCCACAGGAGTCCAGGGGCTTGAGTACCCGTCTTAGGGGAGATCTGAAATTAACCCAAATCAGAAATTATCGTCCTTAGTAGCCAGTTTGTCCTGAGACAGGTCTCAAACAGGACTGGATTGAACTTCACCTCTTGAGTAGCGAGGCTCTGATCTATAGCTCTCAGGAACTTTGGTGGGATTTGGAAGCCACATCCCCAGAGAAAGGCTGGACCCATGCTCACCTGGGTGAACAGCATAGCAGGTTACATCGGTTCCCTCCAGTTTGTTGGCCAGCTCTCGGGCATACAAGATGTTGGCCAGTTTGCTGGTGCAATAAGCCTGGAAGTTCTGCAGTATCCCTTCCACTGGCTTATGGAGGGTCTCAAAGTCTATTTTCCCTGATCGATGTGCATTGGAGGCCACAATCACCACACGGCTCGGTGCACTGAGCTTCAGCCGCTCTAGGAGGAGGTGAGTCAGAAGGAAGTGACCAAGGTGGTTGACCTGAAAGACCAGGTTAAAGCCATCCTTCTTCCTGCCACCTGCTCCAACCCCTGTAGAGAAAAATAAGCTCCAATATACAGCCGTGATCTCTGGTCTAGGAC